AGTCAATAAGCCACCACGACAACATGCCACCACGACAACCCACCAACACCAGTTTTTATCAGAGGTGGCGGGTTGTCGTGAAGCTCCATGTTCGATGTCGGCAACCCGCCACCTCGCACGTAGGCGACAACGTGCCACCCCGTCAACCCGCCACCACTCTTTTACGAGGTGGTGGGTTGACGGTACGCTCCGTGTTCGGTGCCGTCAACGCACCACCTCGCTCATAGGCGACAACGTGCCACCTCGACAACCCGCCACCATGCACTCTTGTCGTAAATCGGTTAGATTTATATTCTGTAGCATTAAATATATTGTACTTTGATTCAGTTAATTTAGAGAAAGTTAATGTAACTCTTAAATAGCATTTCTGGAAACAATTATTAACATGGTGAAAACCAGACATTTGATAGGGTCTTACGCCCTTAGGGGTAGGAACTTTTAAATTATAAAAGTATAAAACCTTAATTCAAAACTACGAATTGAGCCGAATCTTTTAACACCTTAAACGTTGAAATTTGTCTACAAATAAGGGAGGAGTAGTGTTCACAAAAAACAGTATAAATTTTTATGATCTCTTATATTAATACATGAGATATAAGAGATCATAAAAATGTATACCAAAAACAAAAATAGAATAAACCATTTTTTTTCGTTAGGCGTATAAATATATATATATATATTAGTTTTTATGCTTACCTACCACCACGTGCGTACGCAACATGTGAAAAGCGTGCATTTTATAAATTTAAACCGGCGATAGTCAGGGATTGCCCATGTGCCATATAAATGGTGATTGCGAAAGCAAGACGCAAAGAAAAGTGTATTCACTTGAATTCAAAAGGTAAAATGATCGGGTGAAATGATCGGTATTCTGTGATTAGACCACGAATAGTAGAAAAGGCCCGGTATGGATTATAAACATAAACAAATAATGTTTTAATCCCGAAATTAAACAAAACCATATCTTAGTTAATGAATTAGTATAGGGGTTTTGTTTAATTTCTGGCCAAAAACGTAATTTGTTTATGTTTATGATAAATACCGGTATTTTTCCAGTATTCGTGGATTAGACTATTTCACCTTTAAACTTACCACTGATGATTGTTGCTTCGTCGATCAAGTTTAAAAAAATCGTAAGTCTGGTTCCGTTGCACAGTTTCCACCGTAGTGACTTATTCTGACTACTTACGGATTATTTACGATGGAGACCAGGTCAAGTCCCTTCAAACGCACGCACCCCCACAGGTCTCTATCGGCACTCCCGTTTGGTTACGTAGCGCGAGCGCCGCGCGGACTACCTGCTACGTTGTGACAGATTTGACAGCGCTAATCAAGTATACTGTACACTTATAATCGTCAAATTATCCATGTTGTAGATAAATTGTGCCGTATATGCTAGCTTTAAAACCTTTTTTAAAACTTAGTGTTTAGAGCGTTCTTGTACCTAATTATAATAGCATAAACGTTTAATATTAACCTAACCTAACCTAATCTAACCTAACCTAACCTAACCTAACCTAACCTAACCTAATCTAAACTAACCTATCCTAAACCTAACCTAACCTAACCTAACCTAACCAAACCTAACATAACAGCTGGCTCTCCGAACTTGGACATAGTGCCGCGGGGAACCCGAAGTGACCACCGCGCGGAGTTAGAATAAGCCCTACCACAGAGGCTCGCGTTAACCTCGTCACTTCTGCTTCATTGAGCAGACCCTTACAAGATTTATGGCTTCGTCGCTCGCACCACTAATTAAGCCGCGGCGCTCACGCCACTCGGCGCTCGAAGCACGACACCCTCCCGTTTTGCTAACACTATACCTGTACATTAATTTTTATTTAACATATGATATGATTTTTTTACTATTCATTCAATTATTGTTCACTTTATCTTTCTACTAAATACACGTATTTTTTATTATCATCTTGAATTTGTGAGTTTACAACTTCATTTTGGTGACCCCGACGTGAAAGAACTTAGTTTCGTCGACCATATGATCCCCGCTAGAGAAAACTGGGTTTCGATTTGTGCAAACCACAATAATTCTGGATCTGAGAGCCCGAAAGGGGGGTAATCTTGACTTGAAAATTCTGTCTACTGATTTTTCTCCGTTTGACATCACGTCGGGGTCCACCCCTGGCAAGGTGCTGAAGTTATGGCTCTTTTAACTTTGAACAAAATGGTACAAAACAACCCCCATGACTGTGGAGGTTACAGTACAATGGTTATTATCATGTAAGAATGGTCAATGTTATTATTAACTTTTGTGATTTAAACCACAAAACTAACTAAGCTGAATTTTTATTTCCTCATTATCGAACCACAATTTCTCGAATGCTAAAATACGTATAATTCACTTATCTTAAATTAATAAAGATGCCTTCTCACATACATCTTGCAATTCTCAACTTCATTTGATATTTTGTAAAATAAATTTGAATAATCTAAAATACAGTTGATATGATCTGAAATTAACACGATGCTTTCTTTAGATTAAATCGATCGATTGTACCTATTATATCTATTGTAACTTAAGCTCATGTTGAAATTAGTCACTTTACGCCCTAGTTTTAAAATGTATTATAAATTGGTTATAATTCGATCATTTAGTTAGTCATTACGCCTTTTTTTATTTCGCCAAAATGAAAAAAAACACGTATCAACAAAGACACCAGCTAAGAGAAATGAAAGAAGAATTATTGTACCTCACAAGCGGGCCCAGCAAAATGTTTATATGTTACGATTAATTATTCTCCCCGTCAGATATACGGACTATATAACCTTTTGTGTTTATGGAAAGTTTTATGTCAGGATTTATAATGAATCTCATAAAACCATGTTTTGACGTTTAATAATGTCACACCATTGTAACAGTACATAACTTACAAACCAACTAAAACAACTTGTTGAAGTATTTGAACATTTTAAACCAGTGCTTCCTCCAGATATTATCACTGGATAAATTAATCACAATTACACAAGGAAATATTTCATTGAACACCCCATGTTAACTCTCGTCAACCCGCCACCTCGCATGTAAGCGACAACGTGCCACCGCGTCAACCCGCCATCACTATTTTATGAGGTGGTGGGTTGTCGTGTACGCTCAATGTTCGGTGTCGTCAACCCACCACCTCGCACGTAGACGTCAACCAGCCACCACGTCAACCCGCCACCACACTAAAGAGGTGGCTGGTTGACGTGTATGAACACGTCTAAGCACCACCAGGACAACGTGCCACCACGACAACCCGCCACCACACAATTTTCCGAGGTGGCGGGTTGTCGTGCACGCTAGAGTCAACGTGCCACCCCGACAACGAGCCACCACGTCAACCCGCCACCTCAAACTTCTTCTTCTTTTTGATGGCGGGTTGACGTGGTGGCTGGTTGACGTGGTGGCGCCTTGGCGCGTTCCCGTCAATGCCATGATTTCATTTTTTTAAGTTTAATTTTTTTTAGTCTAGCAGCCGACGCTAATAATTTAAAGTAGTTTCAGTGCTGTTTTAACTAACAGCTGGTTTCAAACTGTCATTGACGTTTTTATGTTACAAGTAGTTTACTTAAATATTGATCGTCGGTGTTTGCCCGCATACTGTTTCAATTTTAAATGTTGTTTTTCCTACCGTAACGGATCTTTGTATTCAGGAAATCTGTAGATTTGAACTATACTTCTACCCTTGGGTAAAATCAAGATTTGTCTTAAATCAAATCTGTGTAAGTAGGCCTATAAGTTTATGCCATGAAAGTTATGTCATGTTTGTAGAATGTGTGTAGTCTATATCGATATACCAAAATTTCGTGGCGGGTTGTCGTGTACGCTCAATGTTCGGTGTCGTCAACCCGCCACCTCGCACGTAGACGTCAACCAGCCACCACGTCAACCCGCCACCACACTAAAGAGGTGGCTGGTTGACGTGTATGAAGATGTCTAAGCACCATCAGGACAACGTGCCACCACGACAACCCGCCACCACACATTTTTCCGAGGTGGCGGGTTGTCGTGCACGCTAGAGTCAACGTGCCACCCCGACAACGAGCCACCACGTCAACCCGCCACCTCAAACTTCTTCTTCTTTTTGATGGCGGGTTGACTTGGTGGCGAGTTGACGTGGTGGCGCCTTGGCGCGTTCCCCTATCCTGATAATTAGACCAACTCGTAAATACCAAAGGCAAAAATGTGGTTCAGATTCCACTATAACTGTAGGTCCCTTAGCTGCCATTAGCTGTTTGGGCTATTAATTAACAGCTGTGTCTAAGGAATATGTCGGCCTTAGTCACTAACAAGGCTACAAGATCGCGCCACTCATCCTACACTCATCTCCATTCATACTTGGCTTAAAATACCTACTTTGTATGGTCACCATTTCACTAAAAAGTATTAAAAGTATTAAAGTAAAGACCAAGTATTGGTTTGTTTGGACAGTTGGAAGCAAAATAAATAAATAAAAAATAGATAAGTAGATTCTGATTTCTTATTCTGATTTATTTAGTTGTGCCAAGAGGCAAAAAACACCATCCGTTCAAATTAAAAAAATAAATAAATTAGTATTGTGTGTTTGTGGGGGTGGGTGGGTGTCTGAGTACCGCACGTTAACTCGTGTAAAAATCATCCGGTTTTGATTAGATTTTGTACAAAAGTACACCTACGTTTATTTGCACGAGTTCACGAACCAGCATAATCAGACCATGGGAAAGGGGTTAATTGGGATAACATTGTTTTCCATTTTTCCCACTTAAAACATTAACTAATGCAATTTATTCCAAAATTATTAAAAAAAAAATTTTTATTTACTCCATTTTAAATGTTTATTAGTAATCCAAAGACTATAAAATCACCATTAAGATTTCTTATTTTTAAATTATACATTTTTAATAACACTTCAGAATACGTGGTTCCATTTGTCTGTCTTTGGTAATAGTTTTCTTGTTGCCTGTATTTTGGCTGCAATCGGCGTGTATGACGTTGATGATACTGACGTTGCGTTGACGTTTTTACTAAGCAAAGGACCTAAAGCCGTGTTTGGTTCATTAGCATTTTGTCATGACGTGGCTGTTTTAAGTGATATTTCTTGTAAAATTAAGTTCTGAACAATTCGTAATGCTTTTTATATTCGTGGTTATTCCGTAAATATTTTCATACCTGTAGTAAAAGCTTTACAGATATGCTTACTAAGTTTGAAACCAAATCGGCCCGTGTAAAGGGTCTCTCTTTTCACCCCAAGAGACCATGGGTTTTATCCAGTTTACACAATGGTGTTATTCAGTTATGGGATTATCGTATGTGTACATTACTCGACAAATTTGATGAACACGATGGGCCTGTTCGAGGAATTTGTTTTCACAACCAGCAACCAATTTTTGTGTCGGGTGGAGATGACTACAAGATCAAGGTATGGAACTATAAACAGAGAAGGTGTATATTCACTCTGTTAGGCCATTTGGATTACATTCGAACAACTGTATTTCATCATGAATATCCTTGGATTCTTAGCGCATCTGATGACCAAACCATCCGTATTTGGAATTGGCAAAGCCGTACCTGTATTTGCGTTTTGACAGGTCATAATCACTATGTTATGTGTGCCCAGTTTCATCCCACTGATGACATTGTCGTTTCAGCCTCCCTCGATCAAACTGTTCGGGTTTGGGACATATCAGGTCTAAGGAAGAAAAATGTTGCTCCTGGTCCTGGTGGCTTAGATGAACATTTGAAGAATCCTACCGCTACAGATTTGTTTGGACAGGCAGATGCTGTTGTAAAGCATGTCTTAGAGGGCCATGATCGTGGTGTAAATTGGGCATGTTTTCACCCCACATTACCCTTGATTGTTTCTGGTGCAGACGACAGGCAAATTAAGCTGTGGAGAATGAATGAAGCTAAAGCGTGGGAAGTGGATACTTGTAGGGGACACTATAACAATGTATCCTGTGTTCTTTTTCATCCTCGACAAGAGTTGATCCTCTCAAACAGTGAAGATAAAAGTATCAGGGTTTGGGATATGACTAAGAGATCATGTTTGCATACATTTAGGAGAGAACATGAGAGATTTTGGGTATTGGCTGCTCACCCAACTCTAAACCTCTTTGCTGCTGGCCATGATTCAGGTATGGTTATTTTCAAACTTGAAAGAGAACGACCAGCATATGCTGTTCATGCCAATATGCTCCTGTATGTTAAAGATAGGTTTTTGCGCAAGCTTGATTTTACTACAAGCAAGGATATGCCCTTGATGCAACTTAGAGGTGGTGGTAAAACCCCTGTATACAGTATTGGCTACAACATGGCAGAAAGTGCACTATTAGTTTGTTCTCGCAATACTAATGTTGAAAGTTCCACATATGATTTGTACAGTGTTCCTAGGGATCACACGGATGGCCATTCGGTTGATGTTGCCGAGAGTAAACGATCAACAGGTGTCACTGCTATCTGGGTTGCCAGAAACAGATTTGCTGTTCTTGATAGAAGCCATGCTCTTGTTATAAAAAATCTTAAAAATGAAGTAACAAAGAAAATTGACCAGCCTTCATGTGATGAAATCTTTTATGCTGGAACAGGAATGCTTTTGTTAAGAGATCCAGATAATGTCACCTTGTTTGATGTTCAACAGAAACGTACTTTAGCTCAAGTGAAAATTTCAAAGTGTAGGTATGTAGTTTGGTCTTCAGATATGAGCAATGTTGCATTATTGGCAAAACACACAGTCATAATCTGTAATAGAAAAATGGAGACATTATGTTCAATTCATGAAAATACAAGAGTTAAGTCAGGTGCATGGGATGAATCAGGTGTATTTATATATACTACTAGCAACCATATCAAGTATGCAATCTGTAATGGTGATCATGGAATTATTCGGACTTTGGATTTACCCATATACATCACCAAAGTCAAGGGAAATCAAGTGTTTTGTTTGGATCGTGAATGTAAACCTATGGTCCTCAGTATCGATCCAACTGAATATCGTTTCAAGCTAGCTCTTATCAATAGAAAGTACGATGAAGTTTTGCACATGGTCCGTAATGCCAGACTTGTAGGCCAGTCCATCATTGCCTACTTGCAACAAAAAGGATATCCAGAAGTCGCCCTTCATTTTGTTAAGGATGATAAGACAAGATTTGCCTTGGCTTTAGAATGTGGAAATATTGAAGTGGCTTTAGATTCAGCTCGTGCTCTTGAAGACAAGTTGTGCTGGGAACGACTTGGCCAAGCAGCCCTGATGCAAGGTAATCATCAGATAGTTGAAATGTGTTATCAAAGAACTAAGAATTTTGAGAAGCTTACTTTCTTGTATCTAATTACCGGAAACTTGGACAAGCTAAGAAAAATGACCAAAATTGCTGAAATTCGTAAAGACTTGTCAGGTCAGTATCAAGGAGCGTTACTATTAGGAGATGTAGTCGAGAGAATCAAAATACTGAAAAGCTGTGGCCAGAATTCTCTAGCTTATTTGACAGCAGCAGCCCATGGCTTAGAAGAAGAAGCAGAAGCATTGAAAAGCGTATGTGATGGAAATCTTCCTCAAATTCCTCAGAATGCCCGTTTATTGAAACCTCCTGTTCCTATTGCTCAGGCAGAAGCTAATTGGCCATTACTTACTGTATCTAAAGGATTCTTTGAAGGTGCTATGATGAATGCTGGGAAGGGTAGTGGAGCACTGTCAAGCACAATTCTAGCTGCTGAAGATACTGGTGGTGAAGGATGGGGAGAAGACGCAGAGCTGGGGATGGATGATCACATGCCAGGCGATGAAGATCCAGAAGAAGTTATTCCTGCATCAACTGAAGAAGGTAGTGGATGGGATGTTGGCGATGAAGATTTGGAACTTCCCCCTGATTTAGAAGGAGTTACATCTACAGCTGAAGAAGGATATTTTGTAGCTCCAACAAGCGGAGTGTCTCAGAGCAAGGTCTGGGCGACAAATTCGCAATTACCAATTGACCACATCATGGCAGGCAGCTTTGAAACAGCCTTCCGTCTATTGCATGACCAAGTTGGAGTGACAGAATTTGCACAGTATCATAATCTATTTTTGGCAGCATATAGTCAATCACGAACCAGTTACTCCACTCTTCCTTCTTGTCCATCAATCTTTGCCTACCCTCATCGCAATTGGAAAGAAGCAGGACCAAAAGGAGGGCACCCAGTGATTTGGGTCAAGCTAAGTGACTTGGTATCTCGCTTGCAACAATGTTATCAACTCACCACTGCAGGAAAGTTTTCAGAAGCAATTGATAAGCTTAGAAATCTCTTACTCAGCATCCCTCTCCTTGTAGTTGATACCAGACAAGACATATCTGAAGCGCAACAGCTTATGCAAATCTGTAGAGAATATATTATTGGCCTACAAATGGAAACAACTCGCAAAGAATTGCCTAAAAGTACCTTGGAGGAGCAGAAAAGGATTTGTGAACTGGCTGCCTATTTCACTCATTGTAATCTTCAACCAGTTCATCAGATTTTAACATTGAGAACAGCCATTAACTTGTTTTTTAAGCTCAAGAACTATAAAACTGCTGCATCATTTGCACGACGACTTTTAGAACTTGGTCCTCGGCCTGAAGTTGCTGCCCAGGCACGGAAAATGTTGCAAGCTTGCGACAAGAATCTGGTGGATGAACACACTCTGGCCTATGATGAACACAATCCATTCAACATCTGTGGGAAAAGCTACACTCCAATCTATCGAGGAAAGCCCGAAGAGAAGTGTCCTTTATGTGGAGCATCATTTCAGCCTCAATTCAAGAGTTCCATCTGCAATGTGTGCAAAGTTGCTGAAATTGGAAAGGATGTCATGGGACTCAGAATCAGCCCCTTGCAGTTCAGATAAGTAACCAACACACCCACCCTACATTTTTATGTTAAAAGTGATTTTCACTAAAATCATCAATTTAGCATGTTTTGTAAGATCATAAAATGTTAAATAGGTATTTGCTTATCAGCCCAACTGGGTTTGTATAGGCTACTTTAATTTTGTTAATATTAATAAAAACCAGTTGCAGCGATTGTCTAAAATTATATTTCTGTTGTTTAAGCAAGTTTACTTCTAGGTTTGGTCTTTTTTAGTAGGCTACCTAAGTAAACATTATGAATTGAATCAGCAGATACAGATGTAAAGCGTAGAACTAATTAAATGTAAATTTCATTTGAGCCCACTTGAAAATTATTAGGGGGACTATTTGGGGGACGCCAGCTAAAATCTCCTCTTTTTACAAATTACCATATGGCAACCCTTTACAGGGTAGCTAACTAAAAATAAGTCATTAAGCAAAACAAATTTAAATGTCTGTTGTATCTTACTTTATTCGTAATTTAATTGTTATTAGGGTCACTAAAAGTCACGAGTTAAAAATATTGAGCTACACAATACCAACTACAAGTACAGTAGCCTACATTGAAATAGGGAGATAAAAGTTTCTTAAATGCTACACAATTAATTGTCTATTAGTCTTAACGAGGAGAGCTATGAAGTTAACTAAGTTATGGTTATTTCACACCCTTATCCTAAGTCGATAAGTGGGCAAAGTTAAACTAATTAATAAACCTCTCTTTTAAGGTTGAAATGAATTCATTAATAGGCCCTATCTACTATTTTGTTAGGGTAAGTAGTAATATTTTTTGTCAATATAAATATAGGCTAACTTGAAGACATGGGCACGCTATATTGCTACAAAATATCCAGCAAGTTAATTTGGATGCGAAAAAAAGTTTTTTAAAAGCCATTAAGATTTAATGAATGGAATGCTTAAGTGTGTATTATTGAAAATATGTGTACCAGTAGCCTTGATCTTATTTTGGTATGTACTGATATTTTTTTTTGGGACGTATTCCATGTATAACAATTTTTCCTGAGATAGGCCTATGCCGATTTAATTTTAATTATGTATTGTTTAAAAGATTGTTAGCTTGTTTAGCCTATGTACTAAGTATGCTTATTACTCTTGTAAGTACAGTTTACTCTTGTTGATCTGGCAATTTACGGGGTCCAGATTAGTAACAGTGCCATTTATTGTAGGTTAGGGTTGCCATATCCTCGGATTTCCCCGGTGATTACCGGATTTTGACGTTCAAAATTTAGCTCCCGGGGTATTTCTGCTAAAAGTGAGAAATCTCTTTTTTTACTCTCTACATTGTATAAATGGTACTTTTGGAATAAAGTAAATGTTTATGATCGCAAATATTTTTGTGCAGTGACTGAAAAATGCAACTCTTGTACTCTTTACTAGCCTAACGTTTCTTTATTCCTTAGTTCACTTTGTCCAGAAACATCCTTAGTTATTGTCTGTTTCCTTCCAGTCAGTCCTTTGCTTTGCATCTGCCGGCCAGTCCAAAGGTATCCGCTTTCACTGCCAAAGCCGAACCGAGTTTAGCAGACAGTTGACAGTTCCATTTAAATACAAAAACATGTTTACTTTGGTGCCAGTGAGTTAACTTTTTTGTGTATGACCCATACCGTTTCTAATATTTGTGCTATGTAGGTATACAATTTTGCTAGCCCGTAAATTTATATCCACTGTAGTAGTGGGGGACGCCAGCTAAAATCTCCACTTTTTACAAATTACGGTATGGCAACCCTTTACAGGGTAACTAACCAAAAATAAGTCGTTAAGCATAACAAATTTAAATTTATGTTGTATCTCACTTTACTATCGGAATTTAATTGTTATTAGGCCCACTAAAATCATAAGTGAAAACTATTGTTTGCAATGAAATATTTACCTTTTTTAAGTGGTTCCTTATCATACTACAGTTGTAATTGTGTTGACTAGGCCTTACTTTAAACTCTTTAGTTTGAAAGAGTCTATTGATAACCAGCCAAAATAATGGCTCGCTGTTGATTATTAAAATACAAACTTAACGAATTGGATTTCCTCAATTAAAATCACAAACTATTCCTCTTAAAGTGTGCTTAATGGTAAAAGTGGTATTGTAAGTAATAACTAACTGTTGTTGATACAAATTTTATCACAACTAAAAAAATACTGCTAGATGAAAATTGCCAAATTAGCAAGAGTCTACTGGTGCTTTATAAATAACTTTTTTGTATAGTACTTGTCCTAGCTTTTAATTATTTTTAATATTTAGGTACTATTCATTAATTTGTCCAGTCACTTAAAGGTCTCGCCCTGTGGCCTACATTTTCGGTTAAAATTTTTTCAAGATATTTTTGTTTCTTCTGTTTAGAATAAATTGTTCACTTTTCAGAATTGGATTCAAACAATGACCACTTAATGAAAGATAAACATATTTTTTACTCGTATTAATGAGGTGATTGATTGAATTTTCTCAGTATTTAAATGCTATTATAAAGGTTATGTTTGATTGTTCAATAAATAAGTGTTATTTCTGGAATTAGTATTTCCTTTGCCTGAAAACTAACATACATGGAACATAAAATTCATGGTCTTTTTCCAAACCATATGTTTAGTTATTTTATTAAAAACTTACCTCACATTATGTCTAATTAAAAAAATATTTTGCCGAGAAAAATTTCAAATTTATTTAATAGTCTGGTAAAAAAAATCTAAGGAAATGTGATAATCTCATAAAAAGTTGGTTATAAATTGATCAGTGAGTATGCGGTGGAAACATTTTCATCAATGCTTATATCACTCCACCTTGCAGCTGCATTCTTTATACAGTATATTTTTATACCTTTTCGTTGAGTTAACTGACTTAGAGAAAAAGCTTAGCCTAATACAGTAGGACCTCAATATCTCGAATCTGAAGGGGTTATGATAAAAATTCGAGTTATCAAGTTTGTCAACTTAAAGAGGTTCGAGTTATGAAGGTTCCATATGAAAAGTTTGAGATACTGAGGTGTTGGGGTATGACAGTGATGTTACGTCACGGCCTTTATAACTCGACTTTAACGTGTTAAACCTTTATAAATCGAACTCAAACTGTATTTATACGTACTGAAGAGTAACTTTTGAAGCAAAATAAAAGTTTTAATGCACATGAAGTAGGCCTACTGTATTTATTATTTCGCAATAAGTTTGATAAATTACATAAAAATAAAAAACATGTTAAATAAAAAAAATAGTTTAAATACTGTACAAAATACAAAACAATAATACAGTATACATTAAATCATCCATACACGGAACTACATTTTCTGTGTATAATGTCTGTTTAAAGCAAACGTTAGTCAAACTCTTTATATACAGGGTGTTCATTTGAAAACTTTCCATATCTGTTGTGTGCAAAGGTAAGGCTTTTAACACTTGTATGTTCTCATTTCCCCCTAATTTGGACATGCCAAATCCAATAAAATTATTTTCAATTTCGAAAAATGCCCCAAAAGGGCCCAATTTGGGGGGTAGGGGTGCTTTTTGAGAAATTTTCAAATGTAAACATGGGTTGTGTGATACATCAATTTAAAGGTCTAATCACCCCGACTATTTTGGTGCAATAAAAATGTAATTATCTTTAACCGTATTTACAGGGTGGGTCAAAACGTTTTTAAAAAGGACTTTGAAGTTAAGTGCCGTATTACCCAAACTACTGAACGGAACAGCGCCAAATTTCTTTCCAAGCTTATTCTTGATCTACTCTTTAAGATAACTTGTAAAAAGGGCATTTTCCATGTTATCTTCTAATTTTTAAAAAATCTCAAATTGTAAGAATAAAAGAAAGGTGAAAACTCAAAATTCTTAAGTAGCAAGGTATGACAAATTTTATACCACGTGAATGGTCCTTTTTTAACAAACATTTTACGTATTTAAGTTTTCTTTCTATCTCTTACCGTTTAAAAATTGCAGTAGAAAAACTGAATTTTCCATAGTAATATTGTAACTAGTTTTCTAATAAAACAGCCAAAATTCGTCTCTAGACACATTTAATGGTGCATTAACTGAAGGAAACAATTCATAATTATTGATACCCTGATTGACAAACAAGTCGTTACGTTTTAATTTGTGAAAAACAAGTCTTATAGCTGATGAGGACAACCTACATGTGGGCTGTTTTCTGTAGTACCATTGACTAGTCAACGGTAGTACTAATTTCAAAAAGTACTATTTTCTGTAGCATCTAATCGAATATGGTGTACACTTAAAAAATATACTTTATTTTTACTTATTGGGCAGAACAAAAGTGTTTCAGGATAACTGCAAAGTGTTTAACAATAAATATCCAGGTAAGACCTTAAGTCATAAAGCTGTAAATGATTTGGTTAAGAAATTTCTGAAACTGGCTCAGTTCCCAACGAGAAAAAAACAGGATGAAGGGTCCAAGATGAACTGACACAAGTAAAAGTAGTTGATCAATTTGTAATTAATCATAATACATCGTTGAGCAAAGTGCAATGTGTTTTGTTAGAAAACTAGTTATAATTTTACCATAGAAAATTCAGTTTTTCTACTGCAATTTTTAAACGGTAAGAGATAGAAAGAAAACTTAAATACGTAAAATGTTTGTTAAAAAAGGACCTTTCACATGGTATGAAATTTGTTATACCTTGCTATTTAAGAATTTTGAGTTTTCACCTTTCTTTTATTCTTAAAATTTGAGATTTTTTAAAAATTAGAAGATAACATGGAAAATGCCCTTATTACAAGTTATCTTAAAGAGTAGATCAAGAATAAGCTTGGAAAGAAATTTGGCGCTGTTCCGTTCAGTAGTTCGGGTAATACGGCACTTAACTTCAAAGTCCTTTTTAAAAACGTTTTGACCCACCCTGTAAATACGGTTAAAGATAATTACATTTTTATTGCACCAAAATAGTCGGGGTGATTAGACCTTTAAATTGATGTATCACACAACCCACGTTTACATTTGAAAATTTCTCAAAAAGCACCCCTACCCCCCAAATTGGGCCCTTTTGGGGCATTTTTCGAAATTGAAAATAATTTTATTGGATTTGGCATGTCCAAATTAGGGGGAAATGAGAACAAACAAGTGTTAAAAGCCTTACCTTTGCACACAACAGATATGGAAAGTTTTCAAATGAACACCCTGTATACTGTAAAAACAAGCTACTGTAACAACAAAAATAATTTAGATTTATTTGTCTTGTAATTATCTATATTAAAATACTGAATAGCCACAATATTGTACATACAAAAGTTATGTAGAGAGTATTTAAAGGGAAAATACAGTACTGCACTAGTGTGATAAACAAAATGCAACGTAAAAACCACCTCAACAACTGGCAGACTACTGACTACAGTACCTAGCCAAACAGACACATCAGGAAGCAAACACAGGAAGTTGGATTTGCACGTCTCGACAGGAATCAAAAGACAACTGACTTGCACTGTTAAGGCAAAACTTCGAATTATTGAGGCACATTCGTGCGAACTTCGACTTAAAAAGGTAAACTTCGAGTTACTGAGGCTCGATGACGGGAAAATTCGAGTTACAGAGGTAGAATGTTACTGTTCAAAAGTTGTTAAAATTCGACTTATTGAGGTTAAATATTTAGAAACTTCGACTTATAAAGGTACTTTTAACATTATGATTAATGTGGATTTCAAGGGGATTTGTAAAAAATTGAGATATTGAAGAATTAGAGATATCAAGGTTCGAGTAATTGAGGTTCTACTGTATACCAGAGTTATCATCTAAATAAAGTTACAGAATGATTTAGGTCTTACCTATATTAGCACCTTCCAGATAGTCTTGAGCATACAAGTACAAAGTATTGATAACCAAACCACATCCATGGAAGAAGCAACCTTTTGTCTAATGGTATAGGGCAAGACTTCTGTCCTACAGTCTGTGGTTTTGGATTCAAATGCCATACCTATCAATTATGGCTGTGGCAATGTAAAAATGTTGTGACCTTCATGGCTTAGCCTTAAGTTATGTGTAAACCGGTTTTGGGCTAGAGATTAGGATGTGAAGGGAGAGTTAAAAAAAAAAACCAAGTCCACGTTTTGTTAAACTTGTTTTTCTCATTTGAGTTTTTTTTGTAGATTATTATTAGGCTTAGCAACATTTTCCAAAAACTTACCACATCATTTTGTGTTTAATTTATTGAAATTTACAAGTAGGCTACAGTAACTTACTTACTACATTTCTTGACAGTTTCGGCGTCTAACATTTAGGTTGGATGCTATTTGCTTCAATTAGCTGCACCCTACTCTTAAGTTATCAAATTAAACTTTTGAGTAATACGTAAAGGCACGTTTTAATCATTCGAAGTTGACTACTAAAAGTTGCTCTTCTCTAATTTAGAGCATCAAGTGGAAAACGCCCGACAACTCGTCCAGGGCGCGTGGAGGAGGAACAGTTTCCCATTAGTTTTCTACAAGCTGCTTGCTCGCAGCAACAAATCTTCCACTTTTAGTTGTCAACTTTCTTTGATCTTACTGGCATTAAATGGGAAACCAAAATTTAGTGAAAGTGACAGACAAAAAAGTAGTTGTATTTAGTATTTTGTAAACTAATTGCCACAACTAGTGGAACGCTTTGGTGTGAGTGCAGTTAATACTCAATAATATACTGTAGAGGATAAACATAAGTCCCTTTTTGGAAAGGTACAAAACCAATTTTATTATGATGAACAAGCAATAGTGTATTAAATCTTAGAAATTGGAATTTAACTTTAAACCTCCACTCATTTTAAACTCCTGTTTATAAGTATGTATGGTATCAGTCCACTTGGTGATCTGAACATACACTGGGTGTCTCTGGTTCTCTTTTGAGGATTTATTCCTTCTATTCAGGGCCAGACACACATATCTTTCATTAATTGACATAAGGTGAAAGAGCTTATTTATCTGTCTGACTGCAAGTGCTGTTTACTGAACATTGAGCTACACACTTGAACCATGTCATGATTACCAAGCACCCTATGTCAAGGTGGGGTTTCCTAGCTGATGAACACAGCTGTGTTCTTCACAGAGTCAACATGTTATCCTTTACACAATGGTCAGGTACAGCCATATCTTAGCTGTTGAATACAGCTGCGTTCTTTACTCAAGATTGAAGATTTGAAGGTACAGCCATTTTCCTAACTGCTGAATTCTCCATGACACTCACAATTGGCGGCTAGAACAACCCGTCTTTAAACCATTGGGGGTTTTAAATTTATATTTTCAAGAATTTACCCTTTGAAATAAAAGTATATTTTAAATACTAAGAGTATAATAGACCTAAGTTAAACTCCTTCAATTGTGCACCTTTTCTTTAACATACTTATTAATTAGTAAGTAACTATGCTAAGTTTGAAGTTAGTATTTTGGATACGCATCTTAGGACAGATAGATAATTACAAACACACTTAACTTGTTTTTTGATGAGTTAGGCCTTAATATTTCACCAGCTCGTAATGCTTTACATTGTGGTTTATTTAATTTAACTTTAATCTTTTTTGCATTTGACTTTAAATATATCATTAATTA